CTTAAACAAAAATGTTATATATATAAAAATCCATACACAGAGGTAAATGAAATCTTTGGGTATAAATAAGTTTGTAGTTTGTTTCTAAAAAAATATAAACATACGCAGTAAAATTTAACTAAGTTTCTCAAATTGAATAAGTGAATATAACGGGTTTTGAATAATTGAGGACAAATTATACATAACACACTCGTGCGCGCGCGCATTTAAAATGTTGTTGCTTCTGCCTCCATAGAGAACTCAAATACGATTGGTATGAATATTCTAGTGGTTGTAATACTGTAGAAATAGATCCATATGATTAGTACGAATATTTTACGATTTTTATTTCTTTAAATATAAATCAAGAACAAGTTGTAAATGGATATTTTCTGCCGAGGCAGTTTGATAATTTCATTATTAAAAACGCAGCTTATTATAAGTATTGAAACTAATAAAGCATTATATACGAGATATTATTAAAAATATTGTTACGTATCTGCTTGTTTGTTAATTTCCTGTAGAAATTATTTTCCGAGAAACTTCAGCGATACAAGTCCTTTCTTAATTAAAGCTAGTTTATTCTTTCTCGATACAACTTTGCAATACACAGAAATTCCACAGTCAATACGTTTGCAATCTTGATAACAAAACACACACTTTATATTACCGTCACTACCGCTCCTTTGGCTCAATTATCTGTCTCTATATATATCTATCTGCATTCATTATCTCGCTTTATGTGCCGGGCTTATATACTAAAAAGAAGAGGGCGTCTAGAATGCACTCGGGCCTTCATAATCCTTCTAAAAACTCATCACGTGTTACCAGCGTCACGTGACTTCCGATGTCGTAACAATATTCTTTACGTATAAGGAATAGTATTTGGTGTACCTCTGAAAAGTGTTATTATTTACTCCTATATAAGTATCTAATACTATTACAAGACGCTAAGTCGATTCTTTATGGGACATCAAAGGGTCTTTTGGCCCATGAAGGATGTTTCTTCTAGCCTCCCTCAACAAACATAAAACAGTTCTGATCCGAATATTCAAGAACATTTTTTCAAAATTCGTTTAAAGTTGCACAAAATAAGCACAAGTGAAAAATATATCCAGTTAATATCAAAACTAACTAAAAATACCTGAAGAAAAACAAATCAATACTATCTTGCTGCAGCGAATCATAAGATCTACCTGTCTAACTATCTAAATAATTATACGGGTCCATTCATTCATCCATTGATCAGTCTATCTATAGTTTTGAATTATTTTAACAATGTTGAGTTCAAACGATCTCGTAAGAACAATCAATAAGTTAGAAGTTAGTTAATATCAATTTAACACTTTGATACATATTCAGATTAATAATTGTTCACTATGAAATTAGCTGACCAAAGTACTACAGCTAATAACAGTCATGCAGCGTCTCAAGCAACAGCATCTAGTAAAGGGAAACACGACTGGTGAATTATTATTATTGTACAAGTAACAAAGTGTTATCATGTAGTGTCTTGCACATCTTATGATCACACATCTATATCCTACGTATACTTATTTAATTCATGCTGTCCATTAAGTTTTTACATTTTACAAAAAAGTCACACGTAACTGAGAAATTAAACATACATCAGTTACGGTAAATTTCGAAAATGAATAATATCAGAAATTAGTAGTGCTGCATATTAATACGAAGCGTTTCAATAACGTTTGTTAAGACATACATTAATATATTCAGGATTTCTACTTTTTTTTTATAATTGCTAATAAAATCACTACATTAAAAAAATTAAAGGAGCAAACATCTGATAAGACCTGAGGACTCAAAGTTTTATGTAATTTGCAAATGCCATTAGTTATGTATATAGTTCGCGTTTCTTGTATTAATGCATACACGCTTCATTGTGCACGAGCTCCCCTCTGAAATGACAGTATCCCCCACCTCCCAAAATAGTCTTCGCTTTGAACATTACTTGATTTGCTGTTTTGGTAATTTCTTCAATTTTAGTTATACTTTCCCTATAATTGCGTTTAAAAGTTAAATGAAACTTCTTACACATTAACAACAAACACGAATAAAAAGTTGAAACACTACAAAAAACTAATTTATTTTTATATTAAGTGGAATTTTGGGCTACTTTAGTTCTTCAGCATTCCGAAATGTCACTTGCTGAAAATAGTTGTTTCCTCTGGTTATATTTCACCTTTGCTATCTGCCAAAAGTCACTTTTTCAGGGCAAGTTTATTTAGTCAAACCAACTCTGTCCACTTTGAATTTCAAGTACTTATGTTTTACGGGTTGTAAATAACAATGAAGTCATTAATCGATTCATCTCAACTGCTTTTAGTGAACAGATATGGACATAAAATGTACTCTCAACTCTGCTGTTCAGTTGGTTGAGTAGCAATGTAATTAAGTAATATTGCCATGCTCAAGATTTTTGAGTAGTTTTTGACTTGGTATGGCGGCTAAAGTAATTTGTTAGGCATAACAAGTCGCCAATTTACTGTCATTTACTAAAGTCTCACTTTTCGCATGAACAACTCCCCATATAGACTGACAACATTGCGTGAACTTCTCATGGATCTTTTAGACTAGATTAAAAAAAATATATATGATTAGCATCGGCAACTGTTGACTTTAAGACATAGCAAGTATTGAAATAACACTTGTAATACCAGTAGCAATAAATCACCACACATAATCAATGTAACTGGTCTGTAAATGAAAGTACACAATCTGAGTAGAGCCTAGTTTTACAGTAAACTGCAGTGATACATTTGATTTGTTACACAAACTGCACCTATAAGCAATATCCGATTTGATTGACAAAAACTTTATCTTTAAACAATAGCTGGTTTTACAATAAAACAATTGGACATACAAACAATGCCTAGCTTAGCATTCAGCAAAATGTGCCTCTAGACAATACCCGGTTTTACACTCAAACAACAGAACCTAGAAAAAATATCTGGTTTAACACTCAGCACACTATACCTCTAATCAATATGCAATTCGACAGTCATACCACTATACCTATAAATATTATTTGGGTTAATATTTAGAACTCTTCACTCATGAACAATCACATACCATGCGACCAACAAAGTGCCATTTGGTCCTTCATGGCTATCCTTGCACACCCACCCTTGAGTAAAAATAAATGAACCCATCCTTTACTTTTCAGGAAACAATCGATTCCACCCCCAGTTTTAAACTACAGTAAAGTGCCACAAGACTGCCGACGGTAACATAAATATACTGTCTTAACTGAAACCTAGCCTGCCTTTTTCAAATCTGACATTTGTATCCTCTCAGTCAGTTTTCCTCATAATATAACACAAAGAAATCAAAGGTCATTATCCCATCGATCTTTTGAATAGTCTTGTAGTGTTGTAAGCTAAACAAGTTCGCATATTACCTGTCTTTTCTAAAGAGAAAATAAATGAAGAAATTTAAACTTATTCTCGAAAGATAACCTTGTCATCATCGAAATCATCCTGGTAACCCTCCTCTGAGCCCTTTCTAATAAGTCAGCATCCTTTCTTACATAAGACTAACAGGGCTAACTTACAAGACTAACTAGTGATTTGTAAACAACATGTCTATATTTGCACCCTAAAATTCTATTAGTTTTGGTACAAGAAACAGAGTACTGTCTCGATGGCTGGAGTAACTTATCCATCATTATGCCGAGATCGTTTGTTCAATCACGCTATTTAATGGGTTGCCATCTATATAATATTAAATGTCTGATCCAAATTATTTTAACCCAAATACATTTTATTGCACTAACTATAACTGAAGGTTATTTCCAAATATTTGTTCAATTAATCAACTGATCCAAGTCATTCTCCAATACTTCAAAATCCCAAGTACAACATGAAATATCCCAGAGTTTAACTTTAATGTCATAGAAAAATTTACCAATTTAATAATTATGCCCTTAAAAAGGTAAATGCAAAGGCCCAAGCACTGAACCCGAGGTACTCCACTAGTAACAAGAGTTCGCTTTGACTTTGAGTGAACTCCATTAATAACAATGTTTTGATTTCTCTTATCCAATCATTGTACAATCCAATTTAATATTTTACCCCAAACCCCACCATTGTTATTTTCTTAACTAATCTTTTGCGTGTCACCTTATCAATAACTTTTTGAAAATCTAAGTACACCAAGTCTACATCCTCTCTGAAATCCAGATTACAAGTAACATCTTGGGAAGAAAAGTTAACAGATTACTAAGGGAAGATTACCATTATTGAATCCATGTTGAATTTCCTCTATAAAAAATAAATAACTGGTTACACTACACCTATAGTATTAACAATATCTAATTTTATAGAATACAATATTTTAACAATATATGTTGACAGTCTGAGCATATTAATAATACTTTATTTGACAGAAAACTACCTATAGACTATGATTAGTTAAATAGTCAGAAAAACTGCATCTATTAACAATACATAATTTGACAGCAAAAGCACCTATTAACAAAACGTAGTTTGATAGTAATAATATTACACCTATTAATAATATATAATTTGACAGAAAATCGCCTGCACCCATTAACAATACACAACTTATGAGACAACCACATATAAAGAATACTTCTTTTGACAGAAAATCCACGTACAAAAAATACTCAATGATTAACAACATCAGTTCGACAGTAAGAAAACTGTACTAGACTATATAAAATATTTAATTTCGTAGACAAATATACCTAGATGGAACACCGGCAAGAAACCACTTTTTCTAAATATGTTTATTGTTTATAATTCAATGTAAAGTTCATTTATCATAAACACATTTCCTTTTATATAAAAAATATATAAATTTAAAAACATTATCAGGTATTATAAGATTTATTTGTTTCTTACTTTTCTAACAGATCACAAACAAACTGCTCTATTTCTATGTTTACAATGTACACTGTTTGCAGCTGCTTCCCACAACGGCGGCTACACAGAAGCACACAAAGCTGCAGCTCGCCTTTTTTTTTATACTACACCAACCTTGCAAGTGGTCCAGACTTTCTAGCTCTCTGGTTTAAAATCCTTTCTACAACAGATAGATTTCCATTTCTTGCTGCCTCTAGTAGCTCTTGCTCTTTCCCCATGTCGAAAAGAAGCGCAAAAAGCGCCTAAATTGGATAAAATGTCTTTCCTCACATCTCACAATGGTATCTTTTACATACTACTAGTGCTAGACAGGTCGTCCATATTGAATTTATTAGCGCCAACCCCGGTCGAACGCTGCAGGCGAAAGTGGCGGCACCACGTACAAGCGATTCTGCTCACGACTACACTTGAAGTAACAACGCTAGCGCTCTCTGCTGCTGGAAAAACGATCTAAGTATTGTTGAGAGTGTTATCCGTAAATAAGCAGGGGTTGTTTGAAATGCAAATTTTCCACGTAATGCACGAATGACTATATTTAGGGTCTGTTAAATCATTGGTTGGAGAACCTTGTTTAGCGAATAGGTTATTACAATTCAATAGCTGACTCATTCGAACTCTGCAGAAATATTAGTTGTTCGCTAGGAAAAGCTAAGTTTTCCATGTTTAGATCGTACAGAGATCATTTCCGGTTGATCTAGCAATACTACTTTAAAAGTTGCGATAATGAAACTTATCCAAAAAGCCAGGAGCTTTACACTCACTTTGTTGAAAGGCTTGCAAACGCAAAGATAATTTTATATGACCTAGGTCTCACGTAGGAATTTGACTTGTAAATTTGCATAAATATAAACTACACACACTTGTTTTATTATAAAAATAGCTGCTTATAAAAGACTTGGTCAAATAAGTCACCAAATCTGCACGACTCCGTTATGCATGCCTCAACTTAGAAATGCTGAACGTTTTAGCATGCGTAGATCACAAACTTTTGATAGAGTTTCGGATTGGACAGTTTAATCACTCTGAAGCTATTAAAGTAACTGTTATTATGTTGTACTAAGTTCAGTGTCAGAAACGATCGAAGATTTACACAGATACCTTTCCGGACATTATAAGTAGCTGAAAATTTTCTAGGTATTTTTGGGGATTTTACTATTTCTTTTAACTTTTGACGACATTTCATTCTTTAGAGGAGTGGTTCGATGGAACCTTCGAACTATATCTGAATCTGTTATAGATGTTTTTAATGTTATGTCTCAAAAAATATAACAAAAGATCAATATATCTAGATAAAACTGTTTCCTGTTAATAGTTCTCCGTTTTCCCCGATTTTTTTTCTCTAAATAGTAACACAAAGAGAATTAGAAGGATACACAAGTAAAGAAAAAAACTTTTTATGATTCATAAAATTATTTCGTCCAAATACCTTCAGAGAGACCTAAAGATTCAACTAACAGATGACCAATACACCAACATATCACTCAATAGAAAAGTGGAACACCTAATTAGTATGGCACAGTACTTATGAAACCTGCTAAGACCTTTCAATGACATCGTCAATGAAATAACATGTAAACTGAGAGAACAGTAAATAATTGGAAAGAAGTTACACTTGTCAACTGGAAGTATACAAGTGGAGCGAGCACGAAACTTATGATACTTCAATCAAATTTAATTGGGCATTATAAGTAGAAGAACCTTGTGGAGATTATTAGATGGAGGTCGACGTCAAATTCCCTAAACGTAGCAGAAGTAATATCAAAAACATTATATTTATATTGGATACCCGGTGTTAAAATTAATAAAAAAATATGTGATAAACATTAGTTAATAATAATAAGGTATAAAGCAAAAGTGGTTACTGCTGACTAATCGCTACTCTTTAATTGGTGGTTTATAATTAGGGACGGCTCAACGATACGCACTGACAAACTATACTGCGGTGAAACTCCACAATTGGAGGGAGGTATGACTGTACAGATTGGGCAAAAAGTCTGGGCACCTCGTGCCCCACTCAAATAAATATAATGTACATGAAAGAAATAATTTATTGCATATTGACACAGAATAACACAAGGTTCGATTAATAATCCAAAATGTCTGTCTGTTAGCCCTCATTTTCATGACATAGGATGATACGTCTCCAGGTGCGATGTGACATCCTCTTTAGCATATTGGGGGTGACCTTAACGAAACTTTCAAAAATTGTTTGTTGAAGCCTCAGTTGTTTCATTTTGTTCCATTGCCATAATCATTGCTAAAACGAAAAAAAAAACTAAATTGTTAACATGAGTTTTAAATGAGGGGGTGTCCAGACCGTTTGCTCACCCTGTATTTTAGCTGGTACTATACTACTCTAGTGTGTAAATATATAAATCTCACCCACTTTTATAACCTAAATTGCTTAATTAACCCAACAACCACATAATATAAATATAGAAACATACTACCCTCCTTGATCATTTGTTAATAAGCAAAATATTCACCTAATCTCCGTTCTTTTGTCCAGAGCGATTTGAATACATTAATGACTGATCATGCACACACATTTTTAACATTTTATTAATTTGTTTTTATAAAGATTGCTGTGTATCGTTAGCTTAGTGTAAAAATAAGGATCATTTTAATTCTCGCAAGTTGGCTGAACCTCGTAAGATATTATTGGGATTATGTCCGAAAATATCTCTAACAGCGAGGATACCATATGATCTATGTAGATAACTTGCTCTGCTCAGAAGGCAATAATTTCTAATTACCCTTTACGTTATTTTGCAGCAGAAACACTTAACAAAATAAAACATGACAGAGTGTCGTCTTTTTGAACAGATGTACATAAATTAGTAAAAGTAGGAAACAGATAAGGTTTATGAACAAGATAAAGTAAGATACTATATATTTCTCTTAGTTTTAATGCTCAGGCCAATGGTTCTCAACCTGTGGTGCCCTCATTGGCTCAGCGATACGTTTGAAGGCTTATCATTGCTAAAAACCGAATTTCGATACCCGTCGTGGGTACAGCATATGTAGCCCATTGGACAGGTTTGTGATTAAAAACAAACTCAACCTGTGGTCCACGTACTTCTGGTGGCTCGCAAGTAAAGTAAACTAACAACAGCCTTTTCGCTAAGAGAAGTATCCAATTTCATAGTGGCAACTAATTTTATGCAGACAATTTAACCGATCTCTGTATGCTTTACACATATTGTTATATTGTACTGTTGTTTGTTAGTTTTGTTTATAATAGGTCCATGAGCGTGCGGTGTCGGCGAGTTGTAGCGTATGACGCGATGCACGTAGCACGCTTGCAACTCGTTGCAAGTGGAACAGAGCAACGTGGTAGCCAGGTGGAGGAAAGTAATAGAAATGGATCGGTGGATTAAAACAATTTTAAGAGGAGTGTCGGTAGAAAACCAAGTGGCGACTTGCAAAAAGAAGCAAAGTAAATAAAAAGTGTGTAAATACAGAGATCCGTACTTAGAATTAGTTAGACTGGTCATGAAGAAGAGCCACAACTGTTGTGTGTTGTATGTTACGTAGCGTTGTCAAATGAACTTTGTAGCTTCTAATCTTCGTCGACATCTAGAAACAAAATGTAGCGAGTTACTAATTAAGCTAATTGAATTTTTCGACAACAAACGGAGAGAATTAAATGAAAGCATGAAAATCATGCAGTTATGGTCACAGACAGTGACAATACAATATGGAAGCATCTTATCGGGCGTTCTTACTCATAGCATAGACAGAAACGTCTCACAGCATTGGGGAAGAGCCGAAAAGGAAATGGTGCATACCATGCCAAGATAGAAAGCTTGCAAGCAAGTTAATCTAATAGCTCCTTCAGATAACACAGGTTAACACAAGGTAGATTAAATGGATTATAACGTTGAGGAACAGCTGATGACAAGAATACGCAAAAGTCATTAATATACCCTACAAATGAACGTACCCACCGATATTGGAAATCTTTCTAATTATCTCACATTAATCAGATATGAATTCAATGGAGCGATGGATGAGGATGTCTTCTTTTGTATGTCCTTATCTACCTGTGCAATAGCAGAGGGTATTTTTGAAGTTATGAATAGTTTCATAAAAATAACCGTTACTTAGTGGTCAGAATTCATCGGAATTGGTACTGAAAGTGACAAGCTATGGCAGGCCAACACATAGGAGTAGTTACCCTTGTTAAAGGTGTGACATCTTCAGCCAAGTCGATGCACTGTAGCATTCACAGAGAGGCGCTACCTACAACTTAAGCTTAGTAGGATAAGCTGTAACAGTCTTCCAAGTTCAGAACAAAGCAGAATCTATGATCAAGTAATTAGAGACATGATCCCGTTGTCTTGATCAATCGAATTACGAACCATTTCCAAAGCTTTCATATTTTCTTGACACATCGAAAATGCAGCTTCCAGGCAAAAGGTAACATCGGGGAACATCTGCAAAGCCTAAGTACAGCTACATGAGTACTCTTTTGTCCTTACCTTAAAAACAAGTGGATTAGAAACCCATTTATGAACGTTAGACAGTGAAGTACGCACAAATTTGACATCCAAAGAGCAAGACAACAGAGTTTCAGGTGACAACTCTTTAAAGTGAATCTTCATACAAAGCTACTTGAGTGGCTTCTGAGTAAACGTCCATTCTAAGTATTGTGAACTGTCCGACAAGGCAGTGTGTGTTTGTTTCTAACTAAGCACAAAGCTAAAAATGGACTATCTGTGCTCTGCCCATCACGAGTATCGAAACCCGGTTTCTAGCGTTGTACGTCCGCTGTGCCACTGGAGTGTGCAAGGCAGTGAACTACCTGATGGATTTTGCCACGACATATTCTTGTGAAAATATATTTTTCGCACTTATTGTGTTGAAACTAAAGTACCGGAATAGGTTGGCTGTCATCTCTCTAACCAGACATCCTGGCTTTAATATCATCGAAACAACAACACCCAGCTCATTAGATAAGTTATTCAATATTAATACTTTCTTGTATATTTACTGCTGTGCTCTGCAAATATTCAGTTTTGGGGATTAGAAAGCAAATTTATTACGTCAATGTATTATGTGTTGATGTATTAAACTTGTTTTCAAATTATCTTTGTAAATGTGGAACATATCAGTAAGCATTTTTATCAATCAATTTTGCCATTAGAAATGGTTCTAGAGTGAGTATTATTATTTCTTTGTTATTACGTTAACCAATTATCCATATATGTCTTATAACTGCGTGTCGCTATGGTAACTAGGAGCGGGTAAAGGGTTTTGCACACCCAAGAAGGTTGCGAAACCCTCTCTGGCTTAGATAATATTCTATTGCAGC